AAGTGGGAAATATAATTATTAGGTCAAGGACTTATGGAAGAATATGTTTGATGTGTCACCAATATAAATTAAAGTTCAGAGTATTAAAATGGTAGCTAAGGATGAGGTATGGAAGATAAATGAGATCCAGGTACTGAAGATGTCTAACAAGTTGTTAGATTGCAGTGACATGGATATGGAGGAGTGAGTCTAATGATAATAAAGATAAGAATATTAACTGTAATAATAATACCAATAGCTACCATATCCTCACTGTACTGTATTGTCATTAAATATTTTTCAAACATTAACTTGTTCACCTATTTCTATGTCACTGAAGTGGGCATTATAATCCCTATTTCATAGAGGACATAAGGGAATCTCAAAGAGCTAGTTTGGTCGATTAATAATAAATAAGCTACATAGTCAATAACCTTACTATATGTTAGGTGTTACACTAGGCATGGGTATCAGAGAATCCCTTCTAGTGAGGAGAAATTATTCACCCAAGTAGCTCTGCTAGTGAATGGCACAGCAGAGATCTGAATTCAGATCTGATTGTAAAGCCTGATTTGTTCAAGAAAGCAAGGATTACAGAGATCCTTCTTCCTTTCCCTGTTAATCTATGGAGTACTTTCAGTTGAAGGAATGAAAGAAAGAGAAAAAGTGTGTGTTGGGGAATGGCACATTTAAATTATGTAGTAGAGATAGACATAACATTGAAGAGACTGTTTAGGACTTTGTGGCAGTCTGTGTATGAGATAGCCACCAACACTCTCTTTCCTCCTTGTACGTTGCAGGTCATTCCCTTTTTGAAAGGTGAAGGCTATTCTTTCAACCCCGTTGAATTTGGGTTAGCCTGTGACTACAGGCATACTTCAGTGACACTGTGGATTTTTTTCTAGATGACCATAATAAATAAAATAAAATAATAAATAATGTTGCAATAAAGCAAGTCACACAATTTTTTTTGATTTCTAAGTGCATATAAAATTATGTTTACATCATACTATAGTCTATCAAGTGTGCAATAACATTATTTCTAAAAAAGGAATGTACATACCTTAATTAAAAATACTTTATTGCTAAAAACTGCTAACCATTATCTGAGCCTTCAGTAGGTCATAATCTTTTAGCTGGTGGAGGGTCTTGCCTCAAAGTTGACAGCTGCCGACTGAATGAGGTGGTGGTTGCTGAAGGGTGGGGTGGCTGTGGCAATTTCTTAAATTAAGTCAACAATGAAGTTTGCCACATAGATTGACTTTTCCTTTCATGAATGAGTTCTCTGTAACATACTATGATGCTGGATAGCATTTTACCCAAAGTAGAATTTCTTTCACAATTGGAGTCAGTCCTCCCAAACTATTTTCATAATTGTTTCAACAATTTTCATAGTACCTTTGCCAAGGTAGTTTCCATCACAAGAAACCATTTTCTTAACACATCTGCAAGAAGCAACTCTTCATTTGTTAAAGTTGTATCATGAGAATGCAGGAATTCAGTCACAGCTACAACCTACACTTAAAACTTTAGTACTCTTGCTATTTCCACTACATCTTCCTCTACTGAAGTCTTGAATCCCTCAGTCATCCATAAAAGTTGGAATCACCTCCTTCCGAATTCCTGTTAATGTTGATATTTTGACTTCTTCCCATGAATCACAAATGTGCTTAATGGCATAAGGATGGTGAATCCTTTCCTGAAGGTTTTCAGTTTATTTTACTCAGATCCATCAGAGGAATCACTGTCTATGGCAGTTGTAGCCTTATGAAATGTATTTCTGAAATAAAAAGACTTGAAAGTCAAAATTACTCCTTGATCCATGGGCTGCAGAATGGATATTGTGTTAGCAGGCATGAAAACAACATAAATCTTATTGTACATCTCCATCAGAGCTCTTGGGTCACCAGGTGCATTATCATTGAGCTGTAATATTTTGAAAGAAATCTTTTTTTTCTGAGCAGTAAGTCTCAACAGTGGGCTTCAAATATTGAGTAAACCATGCTGTAAACAGATATACTGTCACCCATGCTTTGTTGTTCCACTTATAGAGCACAGGCAGAGTATATTTAGGCCCTAGGATTTTCAGAATGGTAAATGAGCATTGGTTTCAACTGAGAGTCACCAGCTGCATTAGCCCCTAACAGAGTCAACCTGCCTGTTGAAGCTTTGAAGTCATGCATTGACGTCTCCTCTCTAGCTGTGAAAGTCCTAGATGGCATCTTCTTCCAATAGACGGATGTTTCATGTACATTGAAAATAAGTTATCCAGTGGAGTCATTTTTATTAATTATCCTAGCTAGATCTTCTGGATAACTGGCTGCAGCTTCTACACCAGCACTTGCTGCTTCACCTTGTACTTTTATGTTATGGAGATGGCTTCTTTCCTTAAACCTCAGGAACCAACCGCTGCTAGTTTCAAACTTTTCTTTTGCAGCTCTCTCACCTCAGTCTTCATAAATTGAAGAGAGTTAAGGCTTTGCTCTGGATTAGGTATTGGCTTAAGGGAATGTTGTGGCTGGTTTGATCTTCTGTCCAGACCTAAAACTTTCTTCATATCAGCAATAAGCCTGTTTTGCTTTCTTATCATCTGTGTATTCACTGGAGTAACATTTTTAATTTCCTTCAAAAACTTTCTTTGAATTCAAAACTTGGCTAAGTGGTGCAAAAGGCATAGATTTCAGCTTATCTCAACTTTAAACATGCTTTCCTCTCTAAGCTTAATCATTTCTAGCTTTTGATTTAAAGTGAGAGACCTGCGACCCTTTCTTTAACTTGAACACTTAGAGGCCATTGTAGTGTTATTAACTAGTCC